TTAGACTCACCCATTTCTGTATCAGCTTCTCATTGAGTCAGGATATTTCTACAATCAGTTTTGATTTAAAGAAGTGACATTTGAGAAACTTCAATTCATTCCAAACTCTGACTTTATAACTCATATCATATAACCTTAAACTCTATCCCACCCTAACAGACACTCTAGAATATGCTCATTTTTGGTTCAGAAGATACAGCCTCCCAGATTTGTCTCTCATTACTTCATCTTTTCCTACAAAACCTTCTCTTAAAGTTTAGCTATCCTAAGTAGAGAGTGCAATTACCATCTAGCTATCAAATTTCTTATTAATCCCTGGTGACTATAAATAAATATGTGAAGGGCAGGGGCTAAAAGGGGATCTAGGACACCAGTAGACAAAAAGAAGCTTGCATCTCGGTGTCACCAGGATTTCAAAGAATGCTTCCCCACAGGTCATTTTACCAGCAGCAGTGAAAAGAAAAATCAGCCAGTTTTCTAATCAAGAGCTAATCAACTTAGGTGCTCCTTTCACACAGCTCAAAGTAAGCTTTATGGTGAGTTGAAGGCTGGAAGAGAGAACCAGGGATAATTTTCCTTCTGAAAGTTGTTCACTTTTCTGCCTTGCATAAACTAGACTGAGCAGAGAGAGCTCTTTACACTGGATGGTTCAAGATGTGGGCTTGAGTTCCAAGCACTTAATAGGTGTTCATGTAACCACCCAGCCCTCTTACTGTTAAACCTTCCAGTAAAACCTTGCTATGTGAAAAGTGTCTGTGTCCTTGAAAAACCATTAGGCAATTACATTGCAAAGTCATGAAAAAGCACTTCCTCTAAAACTTATGAAGAAATCAGACACCTGCATGTACAATGTAGTCTTAAAAGCAGAATGACAGGATTACAAGGTCAATGGTTTTCCTTTTGACAGATGTTATCTGGGCAGGATTCTGGCTCCTAGAGAGTGCAGAAAAAGGAAAAAGACTAAAAGAAGCAAAAAACGGCAATGGGCAGCAAAGATCAACCAAGTGAAAAATAATTTTAAACAAAATATAGAAGAATTATGAGTGATGGGAACCATAAGGTGGCAAAATTTAGTTATCATTTAAAAGAGGAATCTAATGTTACTCTGCCACTGGGGTTTGACTGCACCACTACGCACCCCATGGAACTCTTGGATCCCCCTAACTTTTCCTTCACTTTGAATATGCTGGTTAAAAATACACTTTTGATACAAAATTGAGAAAATGGCAATTTATTCTGCATGTTAAGAGCAAGGGACCACTTGTACTGCTCTCCACCAGAAGAAAACACAGCATATAGCAAGGACAAAACCTATTTAATATTTATACATAAAGCAGATCTAATCTTGTTTGGAGTCTTCAAGACACTGAAATGATGAAATAAGAACAAATTCTGGACACCAGTTATTATTCCCATATGGTTACTGAGCAATTTATTACTGCAGATAGACATCTGATACTGTCTTCCACAATTTAATCTCACTTCTATTACCATTTCACTTCACTGACCCTTACATCCTATGTAAGAGTTTTAGCTTGAGAAAACCTAATTAATTTACTATGCATAAAATGCCCCACAGACTCCCCTGATGTTCTCTTCATACAATTCCATTCCTATTGGGCTGATCCTTCAAGAAACAGGCAATAGTTAACAAAGGCATGTGTCAAGACTCAAGGAGGACCAAACTCAATGCACCAAAGAAAAAGTCTAAGCAAGGAATGGAGGCAGAATTAGCGCAGATGTTTTTGCAGCAATAATTAGTGGTCATCTCTAAGACAGAGTCCAGAGGAGGCCACCAAGTTAATTGGTCAGATGGAGCACCTCTGCTGTGAGGGAAAGCTGAGAGAATTGGGATTGTTCATCCTGGAAAAGACAAAGCTCTGCGGTGACCAAATTGCAACCTTTTAGTACCTGAAGGGAGTCTACAGCAAAGATGGAGAGAGACTGTTTACAAGGGCCTGGAGTGACAGGACAAGGGGGAATGGCTTCAAACTGACAGAGAGTAGGTTTAGACCAGAGATTAGGAAGCAATTCTTTACTCTGAGGATGGTGAGGCCCTGGAACAGGTTGTCCAGAGAAGTTGTGGCTGCCCCATCCCTGGAAGAGTTCAAGGCCAGGCTGGATGGAGCTCTGGGAAACCTGGTTTAGTGAGAGGTGTCCCCTACCCATGCCAGGAGTTGGAACTGAATGATCTTAATGTTCCCTTCCAGGCCATTCTATGATTCTATGAAATTATGATAGGAAGTGCCACATGAAACACTGCAAAAAGTGTAAGATCTCCAGCTGTGAAGAAATATTCTGGGAACAAGGCTTGTATATGATGTTAATCTAGTCCAGGAGTGTGGGCATGTCTATCTTTTCTACCTATGAAGTTTTCCTTATTTTCTTTCCTACATTTCTCTACCCTTGACTAATTTACAATTCAGCAGGTCATTTGTACAACTGAATATTTGAAATTTCTTTCAGAACCAGCAACCAAACCCTACTATTGTATATAGATACATCTGAATCTATATATATATATCTGTTTATACACACACACACACATCATTCACAGGTGTAGAGGATGTAATCCTGACAGAATTGCTTCCAACTGTTGGGATATAACACTCTTTTCCCCACCAGATGGCAGTACCTTCAACTTAATATAGCCCGGACTGGTCACCACATGCACAGCAAACAATAGCATACTTTATGTCTGGGATTTTCCTTAAGAAGGAATGTTGATTTTTTTGAACATGGGCAGTAGACTTATTCCAGTTTCCTCCTATTTAATGGCAAAGTGTTCTACTAATAGCTAAGCTCAATTTTGATCAGTATATCCTACAAGAGTTTTTTTTAAACACATATAATTTCATTTTTTTTTTTCAGTATGCTCTAATTTTGTCAAACTGGAGTAGTACAAGTATTATTTCCAATCGTTGTCTTGTTCCAAGACTAATTCCCAAACAGAAATATCTGGGTAACTTTCAAATGCATAATAAACTTTTGCAATATATGCTAAAGAATAAAAACACCAAAGGACTCCAAAGAAAGAGGGGAAACAATAAATACCTTTTGCATAATTTTTTGACAAAAATATTCAGTGTGCAGATTTCCTGACTTATAAAAGCTCAGGGTAAAATTTACACCAAGAATATTTTTGCAGCCAGTACATACTATTTTACACAACAGCAAAATTCTCTTTAATATGTGAGCTGACTTTTTTTTCTACTGGCAAAACCAGGAAAGTTTTTGTCAACATAGTCCAGGCACCATAAAAATAATGTAATTTGGTGGATGGGGACTATTCTGTAGGATATCCAGTTCTAGGAGCAACTTACCCATTTGTTCTAACCAAAAGATCATTGTTCCCTTTTTATTTCTTTAACTTCTAATTTTCCAGAAGAAAATGTCCTAAATTACAAAAAGAGAACTTCCCTCCTATTCTGCTAATATTAGTATTCAGACTGATTAACTGGGTTTATCTTCAGCTCTATTCTGACTACAAAGATAATATCAAAAGTGCACATTCTTATTAATAAAACACACTCATTCTCCAATAAATTTATGACCAAATATGCAGTCTGTTTGGACAGCTGGCTTCCACCATCCTACAAGCAGGGATTGAGATCCCTTTTTTTTCTCCCCATGTTTGTTGGTTTGGTTTTTTTTCAGCAGAAAGTAGAGCAAAATTTTCTCTGGATATACAAAAAAAAAGTAAGTACAGTAATGGAAAGAAAAGACCATAAAAATAATGCAAAAAGTGATATGACTGCATTCTACTAATGAAATACTAAACAGCCAATTATACTTGTCTTTCACACTCACAGGCAATATTCCTGAATATTTGAATTTTAATACCAAAATGCAAATCCCATTTACATCGATGTGCACTGAATAAGCAATATCCCAAATCAGTGACATTTGAACTGAAGATGTTCTCAAGATATATTTTACTTCAAAAGACCTGTTCATAAACTTTTCATTATTTCTGAGATTGCATGTCCACATCAGCTGGAAGGATGAACAGAATCCACCATAAAAATAAGTCATTCTTACATCACTTCCTCTTCCTGAAGGAAGAGGAATAGTAAAGGTATCAAGTAATGTTTAATATGAACCAAACCAAAACGATTTGAAGTGGAAAATGCAAACCTTTGTGGATAACCATGAATGCAAAATCCAACCTTGGCTTGGAAGGAGAAACTGAATGAGTCATGGTTGAAAGGCACAGAGCAAACACAGAGTAAACACAGAGTAAGCACAGGCATTCAACATTTAAAATAAAGTGCCAGCATAGAAAGCTTAGCACAACCCTGTGATGTTCAAAGGGATGGTGAAATAGAAGTGATGGACAACTGCTTCTTCCTCCAACTGTAGGATCAGTAATAATCCTACAGTTACCTTTAGAGAATTCTTTGTATTTTGAAAAGGGTATGGGAAAAATAGAGGTGAAGGAAGAGATGCAAAACTGAATACTGGAGAACATGTGTTACAGTGCAAGTCTTAAGAGATCTCAGATATATTTCAGCTGACTTGACCAAATTTGTGGCAGTCATTATAGGAAAACAAATACCACCTGTAATTTCCAGCAGAAAACAATGGAACAATGGCTCAGAGCTGAAGCTGGTCAAATTTAAATTAGGTAAAAGATTTTGATCCTTCATTTCATGAAATAATCACTTTTGCTATGAAGATAAATAGTGGATTAAATTAAAATAACTTCCTGCTTCAAAGAAAAAATGCAAGGGAGTAACAGCACAAAATATAAAAATGTGAGGGTTTACATTACACAGTCCAATGGCCCATTCTGGTTTGAAACCCAGCCCTATGCTGTGAGGAGAAGCACCATGTCTGAGCTCCTCAGGAGCCATTTGAAATGCAGAGGGAGCATCTTCTCACTGTCCTGGGAAAGCCACTGTGGGATGGAGAGCAGCTGCACTGCCCTCAACTTCATGTGCCAGGGGCTGGTCATGGTGACTGGGACAAAAACTTTGGGGAGTGGTCTCAGGGCTTACCTGCAGCTTGTGGAGCAGCAAACACAGCCCTGCTGTGAGGTGGAATGGCAGCTGCACACCTGGAAGAGACACAGCACATGAGAACAGGGATAGAGAACTTCTGCAATAATCTAGCTGAGTTTCACCTGTATTTCAAAAGGAAGCCTATATCAAAGAAAGACACAGTGTTATGTCCCATAACTACACAACATAAAGACAAAAACGAGGAATCTTTTTTTTCTACAAGACTTGATGAACTTTAACATATTAACAAATTTAAGGGAATTGTCATAAACCAGTAGCTGAAACAACAAAGTAGCATGGTACAACATCCTCTCTCTTGCAGGCCCCATAACCTTTCAGCACATCAAACTGGAGGCTCTCTCTTGCTGGATGCACATTTAGTTGTGCGCTGAGCTTTGCATGCAAATAAATTCACAATTTTATTACTTTTATAAAGTAACTAACTCAATTTCTCAAACTGAATTTTAGTACTTGAAAATTCTTTTTTGTCTTTGTGGATTGTTAGAAAACATATAGAATGAATTCATGCACAAAACTTGTATTTTTTCCCTCATCTTCACAGCAAACACAAGGTTCTGCTTAGCAGAATATATAAGGAAAGTATTAATCTACAATCACGTGTCTAGTACAATAAATACATTACTAAGCGAAAACACGTGTAGCAGAACCACTATGCTGGCAAAAGATATTTAGCCTGCACAGTAAGAAATCCTCTGAGCTGTTTGTAATCAACAGATCATATTTAGTGCCTTCCTTTCATTAACATGGAGTTTTTCAAGAAGTGGGATAAGTTAGGAAATTGTTGTTACGCTCAGAGAAAGCACAGGATTTTTAAATGAGGAACCCTTCAGTTTCTGAGGGCTCAATTAGTATTAATTACAAGTTTAAAGAAGCACCACAACATATTCACATTGATAGTATAGGCATATCTACAGCATAATTACTGTCACTTCAATAAGTGCAGTCATGCATTACACATGCCCTTCTAGGATCAAAGTGGTGGCATATCCAGTCCAAGCTCCTGCTATCACAGACGACTGTGTTTCACATTCCCTTTCATAAATGTATCATTTTCCACCTTGCAAACACTTAGACGTGTGTGGAAAAACAAAACCTGACTGCTTTATTGCGAGTCTCCTCCAGAACACTACTGCTTTCATAGCTAGAAATATTCCAACTTCCAGTCTGATTTCCTGCCAATTATTTCCGTCCCAGCATTGTTCCTCAGATTAGATTGCTCTCCCTCACTCACAATTGTCCTGTTCCCACTGTTTTCTCTTGGCCTTTATTTTATTGAAGAGAAATAAAGCTGTTAGTATGCTCACAATAATCTTTCCCTTCCCACTATTTGTTTTAGTCCCATTTCCTTCCACGAGTGCTACACCTAAATTCATGCTTCCTACACCTGGGCACTCCAAATACTTGGCAGCATTCCTTGGGAGGTTGCTGTGGTGCCTCACGTGGAAGCATTACTAATTTTATTTCATTATCTGAAAGTTCCAACTTGAAGCTATTTTAAATTGCATAAACCTTGCTTATGGCCTTATCAGATCACTGGAGTTGCAGTTATTTTGGATGAATTTACCTGAAATTCTCCAAATATAAGTCATAAAAGAGGAAAATGTGCAACCACTATACCACTTTCTCCTTGCTTTGTGAAGGAAGCCCTAGTACAGATAAATAGGTTTTCACAGATAAAGAGGCTATGCAGCAAGTAACAGGCTGGACTGAATATCTCAGGAGTTTCACTTGACCAATGCAAAGTCATGAAGGTTTTCTTCACATCTCACCAATCCTGCTTACATACAAGCATTTGAACAGTTTTTCATGGGACATAAGTGCTAAGACAAAATTCTTTTTGAGAGGGGATAACTAAGGAAATTCACTGTCAGTCAAATTACAGAATATTTGGAAGATTGCTGAACACAAGTACAAAAAATTAAAAGTAGAGTTATTCATCAAAGCAGAAGTTATTATGGGTACTTGTTATCCTACTTGGTGCTCAGAAACCAAAAATCAGAATAACTCTCAGAAGAGCAAACACTGAACAACTTCACTCCTTGAACCACAATACCAAAATGATTAAATTCCAGATAGTTCAGGCTCATGGACAAATTCATGGACAGGATGTCCATAAAGAGATACTGAAGGGTATGTGTACGATGTCCCCTCTAGCATCACACATCCAAAAATAAGGGACTATGAGGGAAATGGATTATCATTCAGACCCAAAATCCCAGTCACAGAAGGTTCAAGGGATGTCATTTCACATAAATAAGAAATATTTTTTCAGAATGTAATTTCTGATACTTTTTAATGCCAGACTATCAACCACCATGCCCCTCATAAACCAAAAATCATCAGATTTTTCATTCTTTATGAAAATTCTATTTTCTTAGGTCAGAACTATCGTAAATATATCATTGACAGTGGCATAACTAAGCATATGTGCTGATCTTTTCAAAGTTTCTCTTTTCTGAAATGACTGGTTTTGTTTTGCAGTCTGCAATGTATTCTTTCACATAAAACTTTGGATGATTGCTCTAGTTTGCAGAACACCCTACTCTCAAGCATAAACAGGATTTCTTCACAAGTAATTCTTGTCAGTAATGTGTAACTTCCAGAGATCTACAACATATACAAATACAAGGCAAATTTCCACCCCTGAATCTGAAATAGGATACAATAATTCTACCAAAGGCTTATCTTTGGTATATATAAAAAATAGTCAATTTTTCTTCCTGAAAAATCCCTATTTCACAATTAACTCTTTAGTTAGGGAAGGGAAAAATCAAATATGAAACAGAAATTTAAAAGGAAGAGGCAAATGCTGAGAAAAAGGCATTTTAAATAAGAAGAATCATTGTGATGATCTTCTGAAGATATTAGAAAGGCAAAACCAACCAAGTGTTCTAGTTGTTTTTCATTGTTTTCTACTTTTTTCTTTTGTTTTTTACTTTAGGATAATGCATCTTCTTGCAGATCAGAAAGCAAATCATATTCTGGGCTGCATCAAAAGCAGCATGGCCAGCAGATGCCTCTTGCTCTGTACTCCACTCTCATGAGACCCCACCTGGAGTTTTGTGTCCAGCTCTGGGGCTCCCAGGACAACATAGACTTGGATTTGTTGGAGAGAGGCCAGAGGAGGCCACAGAAATGATCAGAGGGCTGGAGCAACTCTCCTATGAAGACAAGATGAGAGAGTTCAGTTGTCAGGCCTGGAGGAGAGAAGGCTTGGGGAAAACTTTACTGGAACCCTTCAGTTCTTGAGGAGATTTAGAAAGCTGGAAATGACTTTTTACAAGTGCTTGTAGCAATAAGATGGAGGGGATGAATTTAAGCTAAAAGAGAACATATATGTTAGATACTAGGAGGAAATTCTTCCCTCTGAGGGTGGTAAGACACTGGCATGCATTTCCAGAGAAGCTGTGGATGCCCCATCCCTGACAATTTCCAAGGCCAGGTTGGATGGGACATTGAGCACCCCCTTCTAGTGGAAGATGTCCTTGCTTGTGGCAGGGGGGTTGGAACAAGATCATCCTGACCCTGAGATGAGCTCAGTTGGTCAGAGAATGATGTTAATGCTGTGAGTTTGATCCCTGTATGGACCATTCACTTTAGGGGTGGACCCTTGTGGGTCCCATCCAACTCAGAATAGTCTGTAAGTTTGTGATCTTTCATGTCTCCTCCAACCAAAGCCATTCTATGATCTGTGACTGTTTGGCAGGACCAGCTCTTTGCAAAAAAATTTTTGTCCTGAGATTTTATCACTTGTGATTGTGATCTTAGCCAGATTCTACACAAGAATAAAGTTGTTATTGCTGTTGTTTTGTACGTCTCTGTTAAAAAGCAATGACAAATATCAGGTTATTTTGGACTAACGTTATTTCTGTAATGTTAAAGATGCCCTTTCTGTGAACAGCATATAAGCATTAAAAGGACTTCTACTTATCAATAACAGAGGCTCAGAAAATGACAGCCCTGAAAAGAACCTCATACACTTGAGATCTCTTGGAATCAGACTAACTTCTATTTCAAAACATCAGAGAACTATGACACTCAGTGAGAAAATGTGACTTTCTGATCATTTGAGAGTTCTTCTTGCACCTGTTATTCATATGCAATGCATTTGGAAGGAGACTTGAATAAGGGGCAACAACTTAATCAGAATTTCTAAGGCTTTTTGTGGTGGGGATTACAGACCAAGAAGAATACTCAAGAGACAGAGAGACTTAATTTGTTTCCTATCTTAAATCAAAGCAGATGCAGTCAGTCATTCCCAAGTTCATAACAATGCAAATCCTTGTACAGTACCAAAAGCAAATAACTTTTGCTGACTTCACTGATCTATCAAGGCTCTTGGTTTTAAGGAGGAAAATCTAGAGGCTTTCATGTGCCACCAAAATTCAAACACCACAGTTTTAAGCTTTGATGATTCTTTGCTCCATAGGCTTCTCCAAGTCCTTGCTCTTAGCAAGTTGACAGTCAGGTTTGAATATTCTGTGTCATTAAGGTAATGTAGAGAAGGATTACCTGGAGAATAAGATCAAAGGATCTTTGGTGGGATTAACCTGGCAGCACTTTTAAAAACATTGGGTTTAAAAGGAGGCTTTTACTTAAATTTCAGTCAACTGTAATGAATTTTGTTTCAGCAGTCTAAAACCTGGGGGTTCATCTAGTTTTTCCTGCCTTTGTTTTATCCAGTAGATTATTAAGATGTGCAACATGATAAACTACTGTCCTTGAAATTATGATTTACAACATTGTTGCAATATCATAAAAAGTACTGTGTCAAAATTGCTTAAAGCCAGGGTGCAAATTGCTTAAAGATTTGCAGAATTCTCCTCTCCACTGAGCAAGAAGATCATGGTCTCTCTTTCCTCATTTGGCATGCTATGACAGAGATGACATATTTTTGTTTTTTAATTCAAGTGAGCAATTCAGTCTAAAACTCCTGTAAAATAAATTGGTAACACAGCAAAACTTGCCTAGAGCAAACCATGAAAAATCTTTGTCTACCTCTCTTGTGGATGAAAAAAAAAAAGTTCTGAAGATA